GGAGTAGACAAGAGAATAGTCAGGGGCGAGCCGGGAGTCAGAGCAGGAGACGTTTAACAGGAATCAGGATCAGGCAGGGTCGGCAACAAGGTAACTTCTCTCAGGAACAGATGCACAGGGAACTAGACCTTACGGCAACCTGATCATTGCATGGCTGGTTTAAATAGCGCGCCTTGCGCCGTCATTGGTGCCAGGCACGCGCCCGCATGCGCGAGTGTGCATGTGCGGCCACAATTGCTGCCACGGACGCCCAGATCCTAGTGCCTGCACATTAATGTGCCTAGGCAATCTGCGCATGCGCAAACCCATGCGCCACGGCAAGCCCTGGAATCCCTGACATTGCCCCCCTCCCCACGGGCAGCCTCCGGATGCCCAACTGACCCCTTTTCTGTGGCTGGTTTTGGAAAAATTCCCGAACAAGTCTTGGAGCATGGACGTTTTGGGCCGGTTCCCACGAATTCTCCTCTGAACCATAACCCTTCCATTTAACGAGAAACTACATCTGGCCTCTCCTTTTCCTACAATCTAGGATCGCTTCCACTTCAAACTCTTCCTCTCCGACGATGTTTATAGCCTCCGGGGGTCTAGACCTACGATCCGGAAAGGGATCTGGTGTCGCCGGTTTTAACAGGGACGCGTGAAAGACCGGATGAATCTTAGGGGATTTAGGAAGTGTGAGTTCGGGAGTGACTTCATTGACCTTGCGTCTCACCCGGAAAGGACCCAGAAACTTAGGCACCAATTTCCTCGATGGGCAGGACATTTTCTGATTAGTCGTGGCTAACCAGACCTGATCCCCTGGGTGCAAGCTTAATTCCCCCCTTCTCTTCCTATCAAAAGCCCTTTTATTATCATCCTGGGCTTTCGCCATTGCCTCTTGTAACACCTTGTTGTTGGAAGAAAAAAAATTTAACATATCCTGCGTAGCAGGAACCGTGATCTCCGGAATCAGATCCGGCAAGAACATGGGGTGAAACCCATAATTTGCAAAAAACGGGGATTGCTTAGCAGCGAAATGACTTGCATTGTTGTAGGCGAACTCCGCCAGCGGCAGGAGCATCAACCAGTCATCTTGGAGAAAGGTGATGTAGCATCTGAGGTACTGTTCTAGGGTTTGATTCATCCGTTCAGTCTGGCCATTAGTCTGTTGGTGATATGCCGATGAAAAGGACAGCTTAATTCCTAGGATTTCACATAGGGCCCTCCAGAACTTAGACATGAACTGAACCCCCGGTCCAAGACAATATCCTTGGGAATTCCGTGGAGGATATAGGGTAAAGAAGGATCCATCTCCAGGATATAGGGTAAAGAAGGATCCGGGTGGCTCAGGATAGGAGCTGCGGTGAATAATTTTTTCAAAGATTCAAAGCTACCTGCGCTTCAGGTGTCCACTGGAAGCGAACCCCCTGCCTCGTCAGTTGGGTGATAGGGAAACCAGACCCGAAAAGTTCTGGATGAACTTTCTATAAAAACTGGAGAAGCCAATGAACCGGTGGATACCCTTTTTATTGGTGGGAACTGGCCAATCCAAGATGGCCGAGATTTTCTGGGGATCCATGGTCACTCCTGTGGTGGAGATGGTTAGTCCCAAAAACAAAATGCTGTGCTGTTCAAAACTGAACTTGTCTGCCTTGGCGCACAGCCCGTGTTGGCGAAGTCGCTCCAACACGCTCCTCACGTGACCTCTATGTATCTCCAGGGATGAGGAGAAAATCAGGATGTCGTTTAAGTAGATGATGACAAAGACATCCAAATAGTCTCTGAACACGTCATTTATGAAGTGCTGGAAGGTGGTGGTGGTGCATTACATAGCCCCAAGGGTATGACCAGGTACTCAAAGTGCCCAAACCTGGTGCGGAATGCTGTCTTCCACTCGTCTCCCTCTCTGACGCGGACTAAATTATAAGCACCTCTCAAATCCAGGTTGGTAAAGACAGAAGCTGACTTTAGCCTTTGAAACAGTTCGGGGACCAAGGGAAGAGGATAGCGATTTTTTGAAATTTTATTCAATTCCCGGTAATCCACACAGGGTCTTAGGGATTTGTCTTTTTTCTCCATGAAGAAAATACCAGCCCCAGCTGGTGATGTGGAGGGACGAATAAACCCCTTACAGAGATTTTCGTCTATGTATTCTTTCAGTAACCCCAGCTCCCACTCTGACAAGGGAAATATAACTAAACACATCAAGGTAACTATGGTAGGCCGAGGGAATTACTTGAGTCAGTTCTGCGTCCGTATCCACAAACAATAAGGCCTGTGGAGCTGGGGAAGTCTTGGGGCAACAATACTCTTGACAGTAGGGTGACTGGAACTGAATTGACCCCGCCTTCCAATTAATCTGGGGGTCATGGGCTCGTAACCAAGGGAGCCCCAGAATAATTGGAAACAAGGGGGATGCAATGGCATCCAGGCAAAGGAATTCCTGGTGGTGGCCCACCACCGTAGTGCAGATAGGTGGGGTTTCACGGTCTACTAGCCCTGATCTAATATGGGACCCATCGGCCAGGAAGATATTTAACCCACATTCCTTCGTTGTAGGGAAATCTGCTGCTGGGCTGCAAAGTCTAAATCTATGAAGCAGCTACATGTTCAGGAGTCAACAATTGCCGTTGCTGACATGGTTCTTCCAGAAAGCTGAAGAGAAATAGGCATGGCTAGATAATTTGTGTTACTAGGACCATTAGGAGCTACAGCAGAGAGAAAACAGAGGCACCCTTACCCAGCTTGGTTGGACAGGAACGCACCACATGGCCTGCTTCCCCACAATAAAGGAAGAGGTTGTTTACCTGACCCCTCTGGCATTCTTCAAGTGTTAGTGAAGGCCGTGTCAATCCTAGTTGCATAGGCTCAGGTGCGTCTGTAGACTCCAGGTTCCAGTTTCCCACAAAAGAATTAGGCTGGGCCGGGCCACGAGGTAGTACCCATGTTGGTCTCAGACCCTGGTTGGACCTCTCCAGTCTGCGTTCCCGCAACCTGCGATCGATTTGGATAGCCAGAGTTATCAAGTCTTTCAGAGTATCGGGTATGCCCACTCTGGCTAGCTCGTCTCGAGTAGCCCCATGCAGAATTGGTGATGCAGGGCCGCATCATTCCATTGAGTGTCACCACTCCAACGCCTGAAATCAGAAGCGTAGTCTTCCACTGCTCGGCGACCTTGCCTCAGAGTATGCAAAGCCGCCTCAGCCAAAGCTGCCCACTGCGGATCATCGTACAACAGTGCCATCGCCTCAAAAAACACAGTTACTGAATTTAAATGCGGATGGCGGGTCTCTAATAGGTGGTGGGCCCAGCTCTGGGGTTCATCCTGCAGTAAGGAGATGATGAACCCTACTTTTACGGACTCTGATGAGAATGTCCGCGGCTGAAGATCAAAGTGCAGTTGGCATGAGTTGCGAAATGCCCTAAATTTTCCTCGATCCCCATTGAAACGTTCCAGTGTGGGTACACGGGGTTCCGGAGGGGGTATTGAGACCACTGCTCCCACAGGAGGTTCCCCAGGGTTCCTGGCCGGGGACGGAGTAGCCGGCTTCTGAGAGGGGGATGTCGGTGAGGCTAATGTCTGAATGCGACCCTCCAGATATGTATAACCCTCCTGTAGGGCTTTAACCCCTTGGGTGAGTGCCACCCGGTGTTGGCATATATCATCCAAAGGAGAAGATCCCCTTCCAGGCTCAGTCAGGGCCGTAAGGTACTGTCAGGCACCGCCTGGCGGGATCCCTAGTGACCCACAGAACGGTATTCCCCAGGGCGCGGAGTCTAAGCCCCAGTCTGCCTTTTCACCAGAGCCCCTGATGGTGGGGATGGACTTGGCGCAGGACTGAGACCAGGTCGCGGCCCCTGAGTGTACCCAACTGTGGTAGAGGGGTCCGCCGTGGGTATGTACCGGGGGAGAGCCTGATGTGAAGGGGCTGGCAGGTCCGGACAGTAGTGAATGGGTCCGTGCGGGATGGATGGATGACAGTATGGAGTATTGCATAGTCAGACAAGCTGGGTCGGTAACAGTGGAGGCAGATCAGTACAGAGTAGCAGGCAAAGAGTAAACGGGTCACGAGCCGGGGTTCAGCAACAGGAGGTCAAACAGCATAGGAGTAGGCAGGAGAATAATCAGGGATGAGCCGGGAGTCAGAGCAGGACACGGTCAACAGGAATCAGGATCAGGCAGGGTCGGCAACAAGGTAACTTTTCTCAGGAACAGATGCACAGGGAACTAGACCTTACGGCAACCTGATCATTGCATGGCTGGTTTAAATAGCGCACCCTGCGCCGTCATTGGTACCAGGTGCGCGAGTGCGCATGAGCGGCCACAATTGCTGCCGCGGATGCCCAGGTCCTAGTGCCTGCACATTGGTGCGCCTAGGCAATCTGCGCATGCGCAGACCCGTGCGCGAGCCCTGGAATCCCTGACAAAGGCTGGAACATGCAGGGGCTAATTTGTCGCGAGGCAAACAAGGCGTTTGCCTAGGGCAGCATTTTTCAGGGGGGCAGCACGGTGGACACTTCCGTGGGAAAGTGACAGGGGCTGCTGCGTCTTACCTGTCTCCGCGACTCCGTGTCCCACTTTGATCCGGTCCACAAGGCACTGCTGGAGAAGGGATAGAGAGGTTGTCTGATCCGGAGTCTTCATTTCTCTGGATCTTAGATCACGATGTGGGCGGGATGACATGCCGCCCCTCTCATCTGGCCACACCTCCAGGAACACTGGCCAGCCTATGGCAGTCTGTCCCTCCTTCTCCAAGCTCCGCCTCCTCACCTGTGATTGACCACCGGATCTGTAGCTCCGGGAAAGCACACAGCGAGAAGGCAGAGCTTGGAGAGGAGGAGACAAGCAGCAGCACAAAGATCGAAGAAGCTGATTGGAGTGAGGGACCAGCTGGAGCCAGTGAATAGAAGGAGAGCGGCCGGAGCAGGACGACAGCTGATCAGTGAGGTAAGTGTCTGTGCAGCTGATATCTGGGCAGAGCAGATGGTGCTGCTGCAGCCAGGTATGCTGGCTGTGGATGGGAGAGGGAGGGAGCCCGAGCTGGAGCAGGGGTCAGCAATGTAAGCATCATTTGTGTCAGTGGGAGTATTAGTGCCCCACCATTAGTGTCAGTGTGGGAGGAATAGTGCCCCACCATTTAGTGTCAGTGTGGGAGGAATAGTGCCCCATCATTAGTGTCAGTGTGGGAGGAATAGTGCCCCATCATTAGTGTCAGTGTGGGAGGAATAGTGCCCCATCATTAGTGTCAGTGTGGGAGGAATAGTGCCCTATCATTGGTGTCACTGACACCAATGATGGGTCACAATTCCTCCCACTGACACCAATAATGGGGCACTATTCCTCCCACCGACACCAATGATGGGGCACTATTCCTCCCACTGACACCAATGATGGGACACTATTCCTCTCACTGACACCAATGGTGGGGTACTATTCCTCCCACTGACACCAATGATGGAGCACTATTCCTCCTTCCACTGACACCAATGATGAGGCACTATTCCTCTCACAAACACCAATGATGATGCACTATTCCTCCCACTGACACCAATGATAGTACAGTATTCCTCCTACTGACACCACTGATGGGACACTATTCATCCCACTGACACCAATGATGGGGCACTATTCCTCCCACTGACACCAATGATGGGGCACTATTCCTCCCACTGACACCAATGATGGGACACTATTCCTCCCACTGACACCAGTGATGGGATACTATTCCTTCCACTGACACCATTGATGGGACACTGTTCCTCCCACTAACACCAATGATGGAGCACTATTCCTCCCACTGACACCAATGATGGGGCACTATTCCTCATACTGACACCAGTGGTGGGGCACTATTCCTCCCACTGACACCAATGATGGGGCACTATTCCTTCCACTGATACCAATGATGGGGCACTATTCCTCCCACTGACACCAGTGATGGGGCACTATTCCTCCCATTAACACCAATGATGGGGCACTATTCCTTCACTGATACCAATGATGGGGCACTATTCCTCGCACTGCCACCAGTGATGGGCCACTATTCCTCCCACTGACACCAATGATGGGGCACTATTCCTTCCACTGACACCAATGATGAGGCACTATTCCTCCCCACTGACACCAGTGATGGGGCACTATTCCTCCCATTAACACCAATGATGGGGCACTATTCCTTCCACTGATACCAGTGATGGGGCACTATTCTTCCACTGAGACCAATGATGGGGCACTATTCCTCCAAATGAAACAGTTAATGGAATAAAATAAGAAGTGGAGCTCTAATAGGAAGAGGTGGGGCCTAAAATGGGAAGGGTGGAGTTTACAGATGAAGGGGTGGATCTCAAACAGGAAGGGGTGGGACAAATTTAGATAAAGAGGGTGTCCGATTTTAGTCTTGCCTAGGGCAGCACAAAACCAAAACACACCACTGGGTGCATGCTCATACTTAGGCGCCAGTGCTCACAATTATGAGCATGCACATATTTAAACTGCACTCTGACATGGATGGATTGCTGAGTGGTCTTCAGTTGGTTCCTGCTTTACTTGAGCTTTGACCTGCTTACCTGTGCACGACTCAGCTTACCCCTGACCTGTCATTGGATTTCTGCCTGCCTACTGTGACTTCAGCTTGTATTCTGGCTCTGCTTCTGTCTTGTGTTTCTGTACCTCACTGTCCAGCTGTGTACTGATCCCGCCTCGTATACTGACTCCGTCTCTGCTTGATTTACCTGTACCTTGCTGCCCAGCTGCTGATGACCTTTTGGGTTGTGTCCTGGCTATATTCCTGTTTGCCAAGCAAGTGTCACCGTGTTCCAGTTTCTGGATCCTGCCTGGTGATCCAAGTTCATCTGCTTCCTGAAAACCTTAGTTGGCGCTACCTACTACACTGGCCCTTGTGCCACTCTGTGTCCCCATACTCCCTGTCATCACTACCAAGAGTGTTGGACAAGAGGTGCAAGAGAAGCCTCCTCTCCAGCTCAATCTCCACGAGGTCCATGACAGTTATGTAATCCTGACCCCAGAACACTCTGCGTGACTTAATCCTGACCACAGAACTCTGTTACTTAATCCTGACTCCAGAACTCTGTGTGTTACATAATCCTGACCCCAGAACTCTGCGCATTACTTAAACCTGACCCCAGAACTCTCTCTGTTACTTAATCCAGACACCAGGACTTTCTGTGTATTACTTAATCTTGACCCCAGAACTCTCTGGATTATTTAATTCTTACCTAAGAATTCTCTGAGGTTTAATTACTTAAACTAGAGATTGCAAAATCTGGTGCAGCTGTGCATGGTAGTAACCCCCTTACCTAATCCTGACCCCAGAACTCTCTGTTTTAATTAATCCTAACCTTAGAACTATATGCTTTATATTCTCTTGACCTATAGCAGCATCGGTTCAGGTTTTATTTAACCATAGTCTTTTAAGCCCTAACCACTGCAATTTGGCGGCCACTTCCACAAATTACTGCAGCTCAGTACATGCACCACATCAGTGCATTTTCCATGCTGTCCATAGTATTTTCTCTTTATATACTATATTGCCAGAAGTATTGGGACACCCCTCAAAATCATTGGATTCAGGTGTTCCAATCACCTCCATGATCACAGGTGTATAAAATCAAGCACCTAGGCATGCAGACTGCTTCTACAAACATTTGTGAAAGAATGGGTTGCTCATAGGAACTCCACAAATTCAAGTATGGTACTGTGATAGGTTGCCACCTGTGCAATAAGTCCATCTGTGAAATTTCCTTGCTACTAAATATTCCACAGTCAACTGTTAGTGGTATTATACCAAGGTGAAAGCAACTGGGAACAACAGCAACTCAGCCACAAAGTTGTAGGCATGTAAAATGACAAAGCGGGGTCAGCGCATGCTGAAGCGCACAGTGCACAGATGTCGCCAACTGTCTGCAGAGTCAATAGTTAAAGATCTGCAAACTTTGTGTGGCCTTCAGATAGCAAAACAGTGCGTAGAGAGTTTCATGGAATGGGTTTCCATGGCCGAGCAGCTGCATCCAAGCCTTACATCACCAAGTACAATGCAAAGCGTCAGATGCAGTGGTGTAAAAACACACAGCCACTGGGCTTTAGATCAGTGGAGATGTGTTCTCTGGAGTGATGATTACGTCTGACAATCTTATGGATGTGTCTGGGTTTAGCAGTTGCCAGGAGAACTGTATTTGCCTGACTGCATTGTGCCAAGTGTAAAGTTTGATGGAGGGGGATCATGGTGTGGATTTTTTTTTCAGGGATTGGGCTTGGCCCCTTAGTTCCAGTGAAGAGAACTCTTAAGGCGTCAGCATACCAAGACATATTGGACAATTTAATGCTCCCAACTTTGTGGGAACAGTTTGGGGATGGCCTTTTCCTGTTCCAACATGACTGCGCACCACTGCACAAAGCAAGGTCCATAAAGACATGGATGAGCAAGTTTGGGGTGGAGGATCTTGACTGGCCTGCATCCGACAGAACACCTTTGGGATGATTTCGAGCGAAGACTGTGAGCCAGGCCTTCTCGTCCAACATCAGTGCCTGACCTCACAAATGCGCTTCTGGAAGAATGGTCAAACATTCCCATAGACACACTCCTAAACCTTGTGGACAGCCTTCCCAGAAGAGTTGAAGCTGTGATAGCGGCAAAGGGTTGGCCAACTCAATATTGAACCCTAAGGACTAAGACTGGGATGCCATTAAAGTTCATGTGCATGTAGAGGCAGGCATCCCAAAACTATTGGCAATATAGTGTACCTCTTGTTCCAAAATTCTGTGACCAATTGTTTCAGAGCGTGTTAAAAATAGGGGGCTTGTATTTACGCATGTGGCTACAAAGGAGGTAGTGGTTTTGTGGGCATGGTCAATAGGGTGTCCCCAAATTTCATTTTGAAAATCTGGTAATCCTAATATACAATGAGGGGAATTGTCCTAATCACATGATATAGCTCAAAATTCAATATGTACAGTGCTCAACACTTTCTACAAATGTACAATTTTCTAAAGCATGATGTGTAAATGGACACTAAAAGAATAGGGAAGGGAAGTCAAAATGTTAATATTTACAGTCACTGGGCTTAGTTTACTAAAGGCAAATAGGCTGTTCACTTTGCAAGAGAAGGTGCAATTTATAGGGAACTTCCCTTAGAACTTAGTGATTGCGGTGAAATCTCACTTTGCAAATAATACCCAATGAGGTGCAAGGAGAATAAATAAACAGAATTTTTTCTTGCATATGATTGGATGATGGAAGTCAGCAGAGCTTCACCTCATTCACTAAACTCTGTGAATAATTCCTTTGCAAATTGAAACATCCTAACACTCCCCTCTCTCCCCATTGTCAGTCTGAGTGGAGGGGAGTGTTAGATGTACTAGCAGATATAACTTGCCCATACATTGATTGGATTTGTTTGGTGCAGCAGCAATATCGATTCATGTGTGGCCATTGTGGTTGAACAGAAGCTGATCTACTAATTGACTTGTGTTTAATAGCCCTGTCGATATATTCTCGATCAACGCCACAGGCAATAGGCTGCAGGGCTGATCTATGTGTTCTGTCGGTGCGGGAGTCTCCATGCTGTCAGAATACAATGACACAGCGGGGAGGATTCCCCCCAACCACATCAAATGTGAGGATGGGGAAATTGGGTCAATTCTTTTCGCTCAGCCTGCTGGTTGAATGAAAACAACTGACCGATGTATGGCAAGCTTTAGACACACTAACAAACTGAAGCTAAACCCCAGCTAGCACTTTATAATCAGTTATTTCACACATTATTTTTGTCCTTCTGGGATAAAGGTTTTACATAAGTAAATAAAAATTGATTATTGTAAGCACCCTTGTCAGTAGTAAATGGTTTGTCTCAATCCCCTAACTGCTAAATCTGCAGGGCAGCTTCCCCTGTTGAAAAACAACAGACTTACTGGCCAGATCATCAGGTGAAAATAAAAAGAAAGAAAGCCAAAAAAAGAAAAATAATGCAACAATCACATCAAAGAATTGGTAAACTGCAATATAAGAAATGCTTGATTTTGGGTTAAATACTGCTCTAATTTAATGCACCATTTGAAAGGTACAGTGGCAAAACAGAAAAACATTTCTAACTGGTTATTTCCTATAGTATGTAATGCATTTTCCTAAAGTGAACTGATTACATTCTAGACATAGAAAGAAGTGTCTGCATGTAATCTTCACTCAGCTCACTCTCTATAGTCAAAGTGTCGTACTGTACCCTATTGCTCCTCTCTCTGAATCAATTGCAATATATATGATTTCCAACAGCATGGATAGTAGTATATCAGTCCAATCAGGGGCGTATTTACCACAAGAAACAAGGCATTTGCCCGGGGCAGCATTTTTCAGGGGGGCAACATCTCCCCTCGGATGAAGGGACACACGCACCATGGGAACCAGGTGGGATCCGAGAGAGGTTGCGGGCTGCTTGAAAGTGTATGCAGAGCCTGACTCTCGT